TACATCTAACACATATTAAAAACAAGAAAATAAGTATTTAATTTGATACATGTGAAAATAATATGACTTCCGATCGACCTTTATATTGTGGAAAATTATAATATTAATAAGCTGGTCTAGCAGGGGATCCTCTTCTGTTAAATATAATAATATCAGATACGTATTATTATTCAAATTAAATAAGTCGGAAAAGAAAAGACATTTTCCAAAATTTAATTTAAGAAAACGTGACATTCTGTTTCTATTCGCTATTGAAGTTCATTCTTTCAGTAAACATGAGTTAGTTCAAGTACAAAAAATCTATTCCGAATAAAGAACGAAACAATCACTTGCAAGGACACTAATATTTGAGAGTGGTAGTTGTAGACTGATGGTAACATGAATCTATGATGTACTAGGATATGTTAATAAAATAGATACGCGTGATTGGAGAATCGTGGCGTTAGTTCGAGTGTAATGGAAAACACTGGTAATGGGAGTATAGGCAAAATACTATACAAATAAAAGAAATAGTTATATTAAACCTTTCATAGTTACAGATTTATTGAAATTATATATTGACTAAACATTTTCAACTTTTTGTTATTCATTTTGATTTCATCAAAATTAATATGAAATTTTTGTTGTAAATTAATAATGAAGCAAGATATCAATATCAACATGAACTTGTCGGTTTATATGTCAACCTTTATGTTTCCCATGGTGTACTCTGTTAGTACCAATAGAGGCTTTGCAGACCACAAAAAAATAACCAGGTCAACATTTTACTCAAGCAGGATATGCTCCAATTTGGAGGCTTTATACCAAAAACCTCATATATAAAACAGTTATTCTTCTACCAAATCCTGAAGCAAAATTTGTTAACCTCTGATTTCCGAAAAATTATGATAATTGATTCTGAAAGTTAAAGTAACGGAACTGATGATCTAATCTGATAATGACTTTAAAGTTCAATGACACTTAGCTGAAATAATTGGTAAACCTGTTCAAAATTCTGATATTATTAGTACAGATTTTAGGATTATTAAAAATTAGGTTTATGTAAGTAATATAAGTCTATCATGTGCGTTAGAGTACCCACATTTTTTTCAATAATAACTTTTAACTTATACACTTTACATCTGTATATCTTATCATTTAGTGATTTTTTGTTGTGAATTAAAAAAATTCAATGCTGTGAGAAAAATAAAGAAATTTTACATATATTTTAATACAATGTCACTCGTAAATTGAATACATACATACTTCTGAGTCCATGTAACAATATAAACACCCTGTGATCATCTATGGACAATGGCACATCATTTAATCACGATTAAAGTAAATTTGCATTTATTTTTAAATTGGAAAAATACTTTGAACTAAAAATAGCAACATGAAGTACTTGTGCTAAATTTAAAATGTTTGATTATGTTGATGATTAAGAGAATCATGTACATATAAATACACACATTATAGAGATACAGACTGATGGACCTATGAATCGGTGATGCTTATTATTGTTGTAATTTTTATTTATGCATGTAAACAGATAACAAAATGCAGGAACTTGATTTAAGTGCTTGAGAAATATTTACAATTTCAGTGCTGATCAGCAGCACATTGACAGTCGTAAAATTTAACGATGATCACGTGACTTGACATTTAAACTGTCAAAAATAAAGTATAGAGAGAGGTATATATATAAAGGGCAAGACAAAAATAAAAAAAAATTAATACAAGTTCAAAGTCAAAATTTTAATTCTACAATAAAATAAAAAAAAAAAAAGATATACAAAAAGTTAAGATAAAAAACAAAAGCCATAAACTTAAAAATTAAACTAATAAAATTGTTAAAAAATTATCACGAAAACTGCTTAAATTTATTTATTTTGTATTTTACAATTTCATGCAGACGGAACATGGCACAAATTGAAAATGCCAATTCAACTCTTCCCCGTAAATTATTTCTATTTATTATAAAATAAAAATGGCAACAAATACTATAACTGTGTTTCTGACTACAATAAAATTACTATAGAAATTACAATAGAAACATGTGGCAACATGGCATGACTTTTGCATAGACTAGAAAAATTTAATTAGCTTTGAAAGCATGTATCTCACCCAATTTTGTTTTCATTTTGTTTTGGCAACTTTGATACTTTCATTTTATTTATTTTTTAACAAGTACATATATACTCGTATATATTTAATTTCGTGTAATTTAAAATTTAATTTTTTTTTACTGGCGGTACATTTTTTTTGTAGATTTTCGTATCGATTTAGTTTTTTTTTAATTTTATGAATTTCTTGTAAGCACGCTAAATAGCGATTACATCGATCGGCACAACACCACTAGCTACTAGTGATCTTGACCAGACGCGTCTCCACCTCCATGTTTAAATGAGAATTTGTATTATATGTGGATCTTCATTTAATGCATGATCAACTTTCTATACTAGAGCAGTCAATTAATTAGCTCGGGGTCGTTGGAGCGTATAACGTAATTTTAATTAAGTGAACTAAAACTAAATTCAGCGAAATTTTGAGGTGAAAAGATGATGTTGATAAGTGTAGTCAAAATTATGTTATAGATCATATTTACTCACACGAATAGAAATTGTTTGGATATTAATTTTAATTTATAATTTATTTGAATTTTTGAAAATGATTATCTGTTGATATTGATTTTAAGCATAATAATAAATTTAATAATAGAATAAGTTTAAGAATTGCACACTCTATTAGAATTCTATTTAATATATTAGATTAATATATAAATTTTAGTACAGAAATTTAAACCACGATTCTAATTTAAGTATCGAGACTTACATTCCTATCTTTTGTGACTAACCCTTTTTGTTTGGTGGCAGAAAAGGACAACTGAGCCAGGAACTTTTATACCCACCTAGTACTACTAAGCAATTCTGAACAAAGGCATTTATGTAAGATGGTTCACACATAAAAATGGGTCGTGTATTTAAATATTACTGCTTACTTAGTGTTTCTACAACTTACTTAGTAAGTTTCTTAAGTAACTTTAAGATTTTGTGGTTTCCATTGAGGTCGTTTTAAGAGCGCTTCTGTTCACAGAAGCACAATAACATGTCACACAACAAATTGAATACATAATTAATATATTAAATAATTTTTAAGCTTTATTAAATGGATTAAATAATTTATATATATATATATATATTTTATATATCTATTATATATTCAACTGATAAAAGCAAAGATTTTATTAAATACTCATTTACTCAGTACGTTTGTTTACAGCTTAACTGTAGTTTGTTTACGTTTTACAGATAAAACATATGACAAATATTTCAAATTTTGTTAATTTCCCTTGTGGGAAATTTATTTTTAAGTGTTGCATTTGACATTTTTTGTCTAATTTTCCTTACTTAATTTTTAAGTAAGTTAAAAAGTACGAAAGCTCTTTGTATGCTTAATGAAAGTTACACTTACTAAGTAAGCAGTGAAAATATAGTATTAGATAAATAGAAAAAATGACTATACTCATTTTGTTATGAAAATGAATGTTTCAGATATGTCGGTTAAGATAACCATCCCTTAAGAATTTTTATGTGATATATATATAAAGCTGATGCTTTAAGAATTTACATAGAAGTTGTTCAAAATTAAATAGATTTCAATTTAAAATTTCAACTGAAGTCTATTTTTCTAGTTGAATTTATCTTAACTATGCTATAAATGTGCAATATTTTTTGATTTAATAAAAGCTAAAAGATAAAATATCTAAGAACATATAGTTAAATAAAAAAGTATGTAATAAAATACTATAATCCATAAATTAAAAAAAAGGATAAAAAATCCAAAATAGATATAGATAAAAGATTTATTGGGTCATCTGATATACGGCAAATAAATACAATGAAATACTAAACTCCATAAATTTCTAAGAAAAGATAAAATTTCTAGAAATAAATATAGATAAACAATTTCACTTGGTAACCTGACATACGAGAAACACAAATGGTGTGCAATGGAATATTTAAATCCATAAATTGATAGAAAAAGATAAAATATATGGAAATATATACAGATAAAATATTCACTCGGCAATTTGACGTATGAAAACATAAATAGTATGCAATGAAATCACTTCGAAAAGAAGAAGTGTTTAAAAAGAAATTGAACAATTAACATAAATTGTTGATCTATTAGCAGTTAATAGAGCCTAATCTACTATGTGGATGCTTGGATATGTTTGACCAACAAACACTAATATAGCTAGAAATGGTTCAAAAATTGACCGCGTTAAGACAGAAAGTTGGAGCCTCTAGAGATAACGTAAACCCAAATGTACATAAGGATGTATCTAAAATTTGAAACTTTTCAAACTTTCACTTAGGACACAATCTAGATACTCCTTCAACAAATGCATAACCACATATTCGTAGCTTTCAACATAATAGAAGATCGAGAAATATCTAAACTGAAGGAACGTAATATCATAAAGTCAAAGAGTAATCAGGAGGACATAAATGTGGATTCCTGTACATGAAAGAGTGTAAATAACAATAACTCCAATAAAAGAACAACATATATAAAGAAGTACTACAATATCAATAATTACAAAATTATTGGCTAGAATTCTTCAACTTTTTTTAAGATTAATTCAGCTCTAAAGCAGGCACGTAAAAACTACTTGATTAGAATGGATTTCTAACTTCTAACTTATTAGAAAAGATCACAAGAATTAAAAAAAAAAAATAAATAAAATTTATTTTAAATACAAAGTAAAAAAAAAAGATGATAGTTACAGACTGAAAAATTTTCCGAAAAATTAATAAAATAAATCTTCTGCATAAACGTTTGATCAAATCTAATTTTTTACATGTAAATAAATGTTAATTGAATTTTGATTGATAAATTTACAATTGTAAAACTAAAATTATGATTAACTTATAATACCTAATAATTAACTTTAATTATATACATGATTATTTTAACTAATTTTTTTAAACTAAATCCAAAATTTGAATACATACCTTAGAAAGTTTCAACGTCACAAACAAATTATTGATCTGGAAAATATAAAATAAAATTTATAATTAAAAAGAGATTATCTATTTTGTTTTTTTATATAATTTAAATACTAATTTTTAATAAAAGTTTCCGTTACTAATACTTTTGCAGTAAAGTAAGAGTACAAAATAAACGTTCTAAAATTCATTTATGTACTTTAGGTATCTGAATTACGATCTGTATTAAAACGAAAAATCTCCAAAAAAATACTAATTAAATATTTAAAAATAAATTCTAAATGTGGCGGAAATAAACAACATTAAACAAAAAAAAAAAAGTAATTTCAAGCAAACAATAACAATTGTTGACTGAAAACAAAAATTATTAAAAAATATTTAAAAATTATAAATGAAACAAAAACTGGCGTAACCTTGACTTCGTAAAAACGGTTCCACGTTTCAGTATTGAGCAAAAATAATTTGAACTGAAAATAGGTGAAATCACTACCTGAAATTGTAGCTACAAAACGTGCGAATTTTTGACATTGATGAACAATGTGACTACGTCATAACGCCAGTATATATTTTTTTTTTTTGAAAAACCAATCATTAGGATGAGACTTCAAAGAACTGTCAGAAAGTCAACGTACGCCTGACAAGAAACCTTACATGCAAAATACTCGTAGACACTTCAATATTGCAAATCAAAACTAAAATAATTAAAAAGACGGCGCATATATATATATCTTATATATGTAGAAAAATAATTTAATTATAATATTTGAATTATGAATTAACAAACAGAAATTGCTATGTTCTATCAACCGCAAACAATTCGACATATTTTAATAACCTTAATTACCGCATTTTTATAATTATGAAAGCCGTAATTCCGCAGTTAAAATAATTTTTTTATACTTGAGTTCCATAAATTAGTTTGGTTTGAGTTGAATAAAAAGTATTTCATAACATATTGTATTCATTAATATTAAATCAGTTCTGTATTCATTGTTATTTGTAACTGACTGACGGAAACAATACAGTATTTACATTCAACAAGGGATCAATCCTACAAAATAAAACTCTTTTTTTTATGAATAAGAATATTGATACTATCATAAAGAAAAACGTGTCCTAATAGAGTGAAAGCTCTCATAAATGGATATGTCTCTTAAACGTGTTATATTCATAATCTTTCATATAAAGTATGCTCTGTTCAATAGACAATTCTCTTGGTCGTAAGACAGGCTAGTCTCCTCGGTATCCATTTTCACTGTATTTCCATTTCCGTTAACATTTAAAAAAGTCTCACTTCTCCAGGAATAATCGAAATAAATATTTTATAGATGCTTTTTGTAAATTCACGATGATTAAATCGACCAATAAATAAAATTTATGCAGTGAACCTTACGAAAAAAGTTTGAAAATTAACTAATCCTTATAAATGAATCTTTATTCATAAGAAAATTCTGTCGAAAATCGTAACAGAATTTTCAATAGCTCGTCAATTTGTTATTTTCAGGGATAACAAACATCTTTCATGTGTAGCAAAAACTATATTGGCTCCAACTCAATTCATTAAAAAAAATCACTATTTCTAGGGGATGAGAAAAAAGTCCAATGTGCACCAAGAACTAAAGTAGCTTAACTCAAATCAGGAAAAAGTCAATATTTTTAGTGACGATAAACAACTCCCATATTTACCGAAATACGTATAGAAATATATTGAACCGACTTAACGCAGTTCCTTGTGCCTCACAAGTACAATTAACTCCAATTCATAATTCAATTCCAGTCCTACTTCTAATGATGTTGACCACCTATTTATTGACCCATTGCACACAAAAATTCGGAGTAGCATGACCTTTACGTAGACTTAGACATTTATTATTTTAAAACTCTTGTCTGTAGTCTCACTTACTTGCTCTTTTTATTCCATATATTTCAACTATTAGCCTACCCCAATCTATACTAACTCTTCCTTTCTATATATTTATCTTTCTCTCTGTGTAACGGAAGTTTATGTACTAAGAGAGAAAAGAATATAAGAGAACTGTTTTTATATTTTTAATAAGAATAAATCTGTGATAAATCCCGACTGTTTGGTAAGTAATGATGAAAGCGCAGTTTGGGAAGAATGTCTAATAAGCGTAACAACGTTCCATTATTTATTCATAGCATGTTCGCTGAAGATTCTTAAAATATAAAATTTTTATAAATAATTAATTTATTTTATTAATCAAAACAAAAGTTGAACTTTAAACCATCATTGGGTTAGGTTAGGTTAGGTTATACCGGTGATCCCCAGTGGATCCACTTAGGCCTATTGGCCCATTGTGATGCCGTATATAAATAATGAAAACCTCATGGTTTAAAACTACCTAGAACCTTTTGCGAAGCATAGAATGCTATTTAAAGTCAGATCCTATAACTGGTCCAGGTCCTCAAGGAAGGGGGCTCCTAAAGTACTAAGTCGCCGACGTGCATGAGCTGGGCAAAAACACAAAAAATTAGATGCGTTCTCATCGTCCTCCCCACAGCTACGACAGATTGGTTGAAAGGAAGACCTAGTCTTCTAGCATGGTTCCCTAGTTTACACTGTCCTGTAGTCAACCCTACCAGAAGATCAATGTCCTTGCGGGACCTCTCAATTAGAGTTTTCGATTTCCTTTTATCGGAAAGTGGCCAGATTGCATACAGATGTCTACATATCGTTAAGTCTTCCCATCTTTTGTTAAAAGTATTAGTGCAGAAAGAACTTAATAACAATTTACATGATGTTAGCGATATGCGCAGATAGTCTAGGTGCTCCGAGTATGATTATGAGGCACCCTTTCTGGCTAACTCGTCTGCTTTGCAATTTCCGAAAATATCCCTATGGCCGGGAATCCAGATTAGAGAAATATTCAGCTGCGTCGACATTTCGTTCAGAGGTGTGTAGTAGTCAAGCACCGTCCTAGATGTAAATTGGATCGAACTCAAGGACTTTAATGCAGCTTGCCTGTCTTATAGTATGTATATATTCTTGCCAAATACATCATCTACATTCAAACAAGCTATAGCTTCATTGGGTTAAAAGGGCTTTATTTTTTTCGTACAGAGTAATTTAATTTAATACTGGGAACTAGTTTTCATATTTTCAGAGAACGATTTTTCACTGACTTTTAAATGCAACCTTTTAAATTTTAAATAATATATATGTATTATAGATATGTATATACAGATAACTAGAAATTATCTAGATCCAACCTTATTGAAATTAAAATTGAATAAAATTTAAATCAAAATTAAATTGTACAGTTAGCCTTAATGTAATATCTCGTCTAGCAAATTTAAATAATTGCAATTTCTATGCTAATAAAAAAAAAATTAATATAAAATTTAATGCGAAATTGCTTGCTAATAGAAAGAAAAAAAAATTGTGAATTATTGTCGAAATAAAAATAAAATGTTTGCCAATATAATTTTGTAATTTTCGACATAAATTAATTTGTATATCACAAGGTAATAAATAAAAATATTATCTTATTTATAAAATTAGCAGTTGCAGTTTCTGTACAATAATGGCGAGTGTTAAAAAAAAACTAAAAAGTTATAAAATATCTGTTGAATATTTGAGCATTGGAGATTTGCTAATAAATAGAAGCACAATTTTAAGCCATTTTTAGAGAAAGATACAAACTTATCGCGTTCATTTATGCGCGTTTATTGAGCGCAGCTGACGAGGGATGTGTACTTTGCACCTGTCACAAATTCAATACTAAAAATATTTTTATTTTAATGTTTTTTTAAATTAGTTGGGAAAATAAGAAATTAACCAAAATCACTTTAAATTAAAAACTTTTTTTTTTCACATCTATAAGCAAAAATTTGTTGCTTGATTTCATCACTTAAGGCGATGAGAAAATGAATTGCTAAGTTTATTTTCACTTGTTTAAAAAGCACTAAAACGTTTAGTGATGAAAGTAATTTCCATAAAACATTTTAAATCAAAATGAAACACAGTTTCTGATGAAAACAAGAAATATATTTTATAAAGAAAAAGATACAATTTTTGGCCACAAAAAAAAAAGCAGAAAACAATCGTTTTTAATGGCCTCTCTCTCTTGTTTCCTGCTGGTTCCGGCATTTATTACGCAAAGTAACCAACCTACCCAACGCTCATATCACCTCATGTGGATATTCGCCTATGACGTAGGTAATTTGTAGATTTCCAGATATTTTTTCCAATGTTTATGAATTTTTGCATAATATTTCTTTTATTGCTTAAGGGGAAATTTGTGCAAATTATTTATAATTAAAATGTCGATAATAAATCAATCTGTTCATTGCAATAATTCTTTTTTATCTTTGACATTAAGATACTGTTGCTTTGTTTCAAAATATTGAATATTGCATGGAATTAAATAAAAATGTTTATTATTTAACATTTATATTTAAGTGTTACATACACACATAAGTGTTACATACAGATTTACCAACACCGTGTTATCAAATCTCAGAATATTGGTTACAGGCTCCTTGGGGAGGTATGTAGATCTGAGGTCAATTATTGCTTAGTCTGATGAAGTGATAAACAATAATACAGTCAAGGCGTAAAGAGGGGTTTTGAAAGTACCTCGAGTTAAGGAAGAGTAAAAGTGCTCAAGTGCACAAGTGCTCAAAGAGCTTCATCATAATAGAATTAACTTTATTTACTACTTAAAGATATAACTTGAAGATAAAATTTCAATCATAGCAGAATGTCTTTAGTATCTATTATTAAAAAAGCAAATTATTTTGAATTTCTCTATTGAAACAGAAGCCATTTATTGACAGCAAATTTACAGAATTTTTTTTGTTTAATTATTTGAATAAATATCTTCCACTCCATCAAGGCAAAATATATTGAAAAAATTAATTAAAAAGAACACGGCATTTCCAAAGTTAGATATTTTGATAAATATATGGTACGTATTTATACCTTATATAATTTTGACATAATATAAATTTAATATATAATGTAATTTAATTTAATATATTTATAATAAAATTTTAGCAGATAGTAAAGTAGAAAACATCGAACTAGCGCTCCTGGTAAGTACCTGATTAAATAGCTGAATCAGAGACATCTCTTCTCTGTAGGACGGAGTTAATGCTTATTTCAGATTACCCGAGAGAACAACTTAAACTGCGCTAGTATTTCAATAAGATGAGTTTGACTGATGTAACAGAATGTTATCTCTAACTAAAAGGGAATGCCACATCTAGTCATGTTTTTTGTTTCCAACTACAATCTGGATAAGGAAAAAAAAAATAATGATTCGGGACCTGTTGACCATGTTCGGTATAAAAAAGTACTTAATAAAAGCCAATTAAGTATGGAATTGAAACTGTTTTGTGTACAGTTAGGTTAGGAACTTTTTCATTAAGAACATTTTAACTTTCGTTTAAAACATTAAGTACCTTTTACATAGTTAAGTTTACTTATAGCACACAAATACCAACTATACATAAGATAGTTAGTTTTTCAAATAAAGTCTAGAAAATCCTTTGTTGACGACTAATATCGGATAAGATATTTCTAATACCGGATAAGTTATTTCTAATATCGGATAAGATAAGTAGCTTTCGGTTCAATTCAAGTCTGGTTGCAAAGAATATTCGTAGTTCGTTGCTTCTATGGGATCATTTTTCCTATTATTTTATTCTATTCACTCACTAATTAAAAAAATTACTTATATTATAGATTTGACATAACTAATCGGAATCGATCTGAATAAAATTTCTTATAATCAAATATTATTCTGCCTGATTTGGAACCATTACTAATAATTATCTTGTGTACTTAGTTTTAATAAAACTGTTGGGTATAAGATATACCGACGATATTATCACGTTACGATAAATGCGGAATGTATGCTCATCTATATCAGTCTTCAAAAGCTTATTCAATAACTGAGAAACTAAAAACTTAGGCTTGCAGATAAATAGAAATTTTTAAAATATATATATATTATATTATACATATAATATATATATTTTTTTTGTGTTATAATTTTAAAGATATGGAGCACTTTCTCCAAGAATAGCACAATAGATCACAATGTTTGCCATCTTCCATTGTACCTGGAAATAATACATTTATTCATCTGAGTTTGTCTAGGAATCTTTCATCAGGAAAAACAAAATGGTCCTGTTGTTGTTGTAGCTAGTGGATATATATATAAAGCAGATAATAATAATAATATAATGATAATCCATGAGTTAGAATATGATTAGGTGTAGGAAGTGCAAAAGAAAAGTGAGGGTTGTTTACGAACAAGGGCTGATTATTGTTCGGTGAGATTTTTATTGTAATAATCTGTATCGAGACGGGAATATCTAGCTACTTCAATAGGACGGAGGCAAAGATCAATTTATGTGTGCATTATCACATAAAAATAAATGGACGACATCATGCGGAGTTGAGAACTTTGTTGCAATGCAACTGTAGTATAGAAAACGAAATAGCATCTCAGACAAGGTTCCAAATTGTAATAATCTGTGTCAAGATAGTGATATCTAGCTACTTCAATAGGACGGAGCAAAAGATCAATTGGACTTAAATTCATGTATAAATTATCACATGAAAATAAATGAACTATATCATCCAAAGCTGAGAACCTTATTGCAATGTAACTGTGGTATAGAAGAAGAAATTCCATCTGAGGCTAACACTTCGTTCAATAATTCGGCATACCAATAACAAATGCTTCTTTTTGCTGGAGCAGAGTCCGAATAATGTTTTTCATGCCATTCCTGACATTGAACAGTATTTTTTTTCATTAAAAAACAATGATAAATCAGCACACGGAATTGCTTTGAATTCATTTTTTTTTGAAAACTCAAAAGTAGCGTCACTTAAAGCACTGTACCTTGTAAACAAATGGTCGGATTAACATATGATTTTGACAGTAAGCCTAAAAAGGTTGCCACTTTCGAAAAAAAATATTTATTTAGTATTAGTGCCGCCATCTATGTGTCAGTCACACACATTATTGAACGAAGTGTTAGGTTCTAGAAGCGGTCTGATCTACGTCCGGGAATCACTTGTCGATTAGGATGACCAACTGTCATTCACCACTTCCAAAAAGGAATTTAGCAGCATAATGAATCTCAAAGGTTGCGGTGTATCATTATCTCGTGTAATAATAAATTAGTCCAGTCAGGAGCAGCTATTTAAGATATATTGAAATTCACTATGAGATATGTTGGTTGAGGTATGTTAATTAAGTAAAGTTTATCTATTATATAAATATATATCATACATTTTTTTTTTGAATTAAGAAAAATCAATATAACTTATTGGTAGTGAAATCAAATAATTATCCAATCACTGTTCACAATAGGAAAGCTTTACGTCTATCTTAATCATAAATCCATTAAATCGCTATTGGCGCAGAGTCGATTAGACACATTTAAACATTTAAAGCAACAAATATTTTATGACATTTCAAATGATTAACATCAAATTGAATGTTATTTATTATTTATTTCTAAATATATTCATGTATATATGAAAATGTATTGTGAAAAATTGAAATAGAATAAATGATCATCACACATGCATGAAGAAACTATAAATAAAACAATAACAACAGCAACAATAAACAATTTCAAGCACTTTAGAATTTTTGAAGCGCGCCGTAGTGCGGGGCCACAGTCACAAAAGTGAATTATGGGTGTAAATATCTATAAAATGTGGGCGAGTTAGCGACATCATAGTCACGTCCATAGCTTGGCTTGTGTGATAATTTTTTTTTATTTTTGCTTTTAATTTTTTTTATTTTTGCTTTTAATTTATTTTTATTTAATTTGCATTTTTTTCCGTTTAATTAACCCAAGCGTACCTTTTCCCAACGACTAATTAACGTAAGTTTTACAGTTGTAGAACCGTTTTAGCGTTTTATGGCGAATAGTAAACACGTACGTATAGATATGTATTTTTAAATCGCACAAATAAATATCTTAAGTGATTAGAAAATAGAAAATATCTTAATTAATATTTTTCAATTTAATAAATTTATTTGACTTTAAATAATTTTTGCTGCAGCTACGTTTCAAGCACATCTCGCGTCTTTTCATTCGCATTTGTAACTGATTTAGAGCGAACAAAACCAGACGAATTGTACAAGTTGTGGGATCGAAAGTATTTTGACAAAATTATAATTAAAATTTTCAGTTTCAGTTTCTCAACCATAAACAATTCTACTTCTCAGTTATACATATAATAGGTTCTATAGTGTAATTAAAGCTGAGCAACAATAGCAACAACAGCAACAACAGCAATAAGAAAGCCAATAGCGACGAAACAATAACAAATTACGTTGAATGTTCAAAAGGCCATTTAGGCAAAAATATTTTACAAAACATTCTACAATAACAAATAGACGAGATGTAGTAATTAAAATAAATTACGGATTCGTAAAACGTGAAAATTATTATTTAATTAAATTTGATTTGAACTGTTTACTTTGTTGCAAATTAACTGTAAAGGGTCTTAATTGTAATTAATGAATTTCTCTGCTCTTCACGTTAAGTTGACTTGGAAAAATTATATAAAAGTCATTTTCGTGATTTGATTCATGAGCGTCATCAATCGCTATCGCCTGAAATGTTATCTAAGACTATTTTGACTACCGCATTCCTAGTCAAGCGAAGTATTTTACGTCATTGACGTTGGTTAAGATTTTAATTACTTCATGTGAAATGAAATATATATACTGATTGCACTATTAAAACGTCAACGGTTGTTTATTCTTGTTATATATTTAAAATTTTCTTATTTATTTCTCAGAAGTGGCAATACTTTTTTTTAAGTTTTTTAACAAGCAACCGTAATTAGTTATTCTTGGTGTAATGGCCTCATGCTTCCTTAGAAGCTTACTCTTGAACTAACGTCGGGGTCACTAGTTGTTGTATAATGACTAGTGAATCCATTTCAACTGACTATAGGATCAATAGTTATTACAGATATATTAAGCACGATACTTATTTCTAAATGAGTCATTTCTAATATATTGCTCTGAAACTTTTTTTTACTAAAAAAAATAGAACACATTACCCATAACCCATTACTTTATCAGATTGATAGATAAATGTTTAAAAGAAAACGTATTTGCTGAAATAAACCCTTTCAGGATTAATGCATGGACCGGCCGCTGCAGGAACAGTTAGAATCTAAATGATCTTTGGTTCTGCCAAGTTTCTCTACCTTGAACCAGACTATTTCTAATTGAAATTCGAATCACCCATAATCTGCTTCCGATCCCAAACAAACTCTTTCACACTACTTTTACTTAACCATATCTTACCTAATCCATGTTTTCATATTTGTAATTCCCTTCACGTTATCTGTTATATAGCTCTATCCGGAACACAACAAAAACATTACATTACTGCATGCTAGCTGATCACTATCACTATCAGTATTAGGTCTCTCACAAAGGATTTTGTTTCCAATTCATAAATGTCAAATTTAGTATCCAACACCAAATTATATTCTATTAGAATTCTATGTATTGTTTGACGAACATTCTGAATTTAGATCTTATAAAAATAATTTTCTTTATTACCCTCTCACAGGTGAATTTTAGAACTAATATCTTATTGTATATCCGGCGACATTAAAAACGAAACGATACATATGCGGTTATAAATAGATAAGGAATATATTATGTCAATAATCATAGGATTTATAAAAATTTATATATATGAACAGTTTTAATGTCTTTAGAATATTAGAAATATTATAACTTTATCTTTCATTTATCCATATATTCGTACTTCTGTTCAAGAAACATTTAGCTTTATTAAAATTCAATATACCTATGCTATGTAAAATTAGAGTTTTACATAATTAGTCAACGATTAATCGCTACAGATATTAAACCCTGTAATTTCACCCTGTAACCCTGTAATTTGTTCTTTAAAACCTAATGGTCGTAGTTTCGTAGTTGGATTCACAAGTGGCTGGGCTAGCGAACTTAGTTAACTACCAAAACGGTTTGAGCAATCTCACTTCTCCGGTATGTTTTGTAGTAATGTTGGTATTTAAATAGTGGTTTAGTCTGTAATTCAAGATATAACATGATACTTCTGTTATACTATACAGGATATAATAACAAAAGCGCCGAACGGGATATTAGAATAGAACAGATATATTAACAGCAAAAACGACTCCCAGGGACACAAAGGATAAGTATAAACATAGTAGGAATTATATATATGTATTATATATATTTTATATTATATTATATATTATATTATTATATCATATATTATGTATATATTATATATATTTAGTTATTAAAATAAAAGTCCTAATAAATATGATTAAGTAGTTTCTAATATCGCACAGCGTCAGAAGTATACGCTCCACTACTTTTCTCCTGACTTAAAACCAGACAACCAGACAACAACAGAGAATTTCACTAGAAACCTTATTCCCTATTGTATGGAGAAATGGCAGTTACTTCAGATAGACCTATCCTGTTAAGATGAGAGTTAAGATATTTTGACAGGTAATCTGCTAGCAATGTCAGTTTTCTTTTAATGAGAATTGACATTTTTTTGCGAAATAAATTTATTATTATATATATTCTTCTTCTTCTAGGTGCCTTGTCCGCTTCGAACGTTGGCTAACATGATTGCGATTTTGACTTTATCTAAAGCCTCTCAAAAAAATGGTCTTGTACTTTAATTGAACCATTGACGTAAATTCTTCAGCCACGACATCTTTCGTTTCCCAAGACCACGTCTGGCTTCAATTCTGCCTTCAATGATTAATTTCAATAGTCCGTACTTTTCTGGGTGCATTATATATACCATAGTACTTAAATGTGATTTAATTTTTTAATTTATTATTATTTATTTTACATTTAATTGTAATTTATTTTTATTTTAGTGTGCACCTAGTAGTATAAGGTGATAATAAGATGTATTATTGTGCTATACACATATCCATGATTCATAAAAATATCTTTTTTATATATCTATATTTTTTACAAATAATTTTCTAAATATACATGCAATATATAAATGCTTCAAATATTTTTAAAATAAAAGTCATATATCATTTTCAAAAAGGGAAGAATGCTTGAAAAACCCGATGTATCGCGTCTTGTATTTATAGAACAAATTATTGGTAAACCGAAGTGCATAGTTCTGCGTTCAGCTATTTATGCTATTTTTAGCGTGAATATGAAGTAAATTCTTATCTCTGTGTTTACATATGTATATACTTGCATATATTGAACATTTAACTTAAGATATTCAGAAATTCAAAATATAATAAAAAATGTGAAAAGATGCAATATGTTGTGCACTCGGGTGTATGCTTGATCGCCTCCCATTCTTGGAGCACACAACGATTCACAATCTGATGGAATAGTTTATAAACAATAAAGGAAATTATAATTGTTTTTTTTAGAAATAGTTTAATTGTTCTAAATATAGTTTTTATTAGGGCAACAATTTTTGCAGTGTACGTCATTCAATCATTTAATAATGGGAACAAGATTTTTTAATTGAATTTTTCTACTTTGGGAAAATTTTTTATTTTTGCGATGTGAAATCATTGCACGCGACTTTCTTTTTCAAAAATATTTCCATTTGGACTAAATGGAACTTTGTACAGAGGAACAAGTAATTATTTTTTTAAAAATGTCTAACTTTTTATTTGCAGACTTTAAAATGGACTATGAGGTGTAAATGAATGCTTAAATAGTACGTCGGCTTAAATACTAACAGGCAAATCATTTATCAATTAGTAGAGCAACATTACTAGAAGATAATTGTGGAATTAGTCTTAAATAGGAAATAATTGGAAGCTAATAAGAAAATTTAAATTATTTGTAAAAAAATTATGCCACATTTTAGTATGTTATGTCCATATCCATAATGTTATTACCCCATAGCATATCATGACACGGAAGCATATATAATTTTTCTTTTCTTTATCAGTGTCAGAAAACGATTTTTAAAACGATTCATTTAGTTGTAATTGAACCAAAGAAGTAGGAATCTTTATATGAAATGATTTCGCTTCGATAATAATTATAAAATTATTGTATTTCGATATTGTGAATAATTCTCAGACACTACAGCAAAACAAAACAAAACTATAAAATCACAAAATCAAGATGAAATTAAGATTTGTCGTGTGAACAGACTTTTACTTACACAAGCCGAATTTTGTTATTAAACTTACATGAACTAAAAAGTGAACTAAAAAGTCATGGATTAATTTAATGTTTTCCAAATTTACATAAATTGAAATGTGTGCTTACGTCTCTATGCTTGTTGTAGGGTACATTAATTATTTTATTACAATTAAAATTAAATAAAAAATATTTATTAAATTATAATTATAAGGCGTTATAGTTTGAATAAATGTGGTGAGTTTCTCTACATGTAAATTATTTTAACACTCTTGTGCATGAAATACTGAAATTAAATATTTCTCAAATATAAAAACGATGAGTCACACCTTATTTCATGTCTAGGAATTCATTATATTAAATTTTTTTCACAAAACAACAAAATATTTATTATTCACTTCAATAATTTGTTAATACAAAATGTGTGTTAAATAACTTCTTGATTAGTCACCACATCAAGCAGTGGAAATCAGCTGTTTGGAATTAGATATGCTTTCGCAGTTACAGTGGCGTTTTACATTTTAATAAGCATGAAAATTATTTTCGTATGCATGTCAAAAAAAAAAGAAAGAAATATAATAAAGTTACATTAATAAAATTTTGTCTTTATTTTTTTTTTTTTTAATGTTAATGATAGCCTATATAGCTTGCATGGCAACAGTATACGTCGTGCAGATTTATTACAAATGATATTCTCTGTGTACCAACAGCACATA